CCCCAAAAAAAATGAAAAAAGAAAAAGAACACAAAAGATTCGTTTTTAGGAAAATTGTTATAAATCGAATAATAAAAAGAAGAATTAACCTAAGAAGCCGCTCATTCAAATACCTAAATTAAAAATAGCAAAATTATTTATCACGCTCTACTTTTGGATTTAGAATTTCATTTTAACTTTGATTACTCCTCGACGTGATTCAATGACTCCCTTTCCCTCCAAATCCTTTGCTTCCCCTTATATAAAATAGGCATTATTTAATACTTAAACAGCTGATGTGATAGTCTGACAATTAAAAAAAAAAAAAGATTTGGTAGCCTCATGGTGATTCTGACATGCTAACGATTCTTAAAAATTTCACCTTTTTTATTTTTATTAAAGCTATTTTCTATTTTTTAGAAGGAATAATAAAACAACTGGAACATGTTATTTGAAGGAATTAATAAATACTATATTCTTATTTTTTGAATATAAAAGGAGGAAAGCTATTTTGTAGGGTCAATAATTGTTATTTAGCACGTCGATGGGAACATGTTAATCTATATCTATATATTATATTAAAAGCACGAAGACCCTTAGCGAAATGTCGTTCGCCTTTTACACCCTTAAAAAATAAAGTTCATACTAGACAAAATTGTCATTTGATAATTTTTCCTAAAATTTAGGATTTTAAATCAACTAAAATTATTGTTATTATATATTTCCTTATATAATTAATGTAAAAGCTCCTAATATCTAGGTTTTAAAAAAAATAAAATTTGCAAGCGTACTACATATTTAAGGAAGATTACTAACTATATTGAAATATCTAAAAAACATTTGGGAACTTTTATAAGTGTGACATGCAAAAACATACACGTTTTATAAATTTAGTTTATATAACCGAAACAAAGTGTATATGCATATTTTTTATATTGGTTAAAATCTCAAATTATAATTTTCTGTTTAATAGTTGTTTACTAATGTTTGATTATGAGTTTGTACTCAACACTATATCCTACATTGGAATTCTGCAGCTAAATAATACGTAAAAATTGCACGGGGTGTCCTATTTGGTCGCCCCCATTTAACCAATACCCATTTTTTAAAAACTTTTAATTTGTAATCACTTTTTAAACAACTTCATCCCCTTTTTCCTCCTCCTCAAAGTTATATCCGCCTCTTCTTTCTCAAACTTCTCCTTCTCCCTTTTCTGCAAGAAATCTGTTACGGCTATGTATATAACTTGTATTCACACAACGTTTTTATCTAGGATTTCGTTTTCAAGAAATTATTAATTATTTTTAGAAAGAGCCTCTAGTACTTGGGATTTTTCCAACATAATTTGTGGAGAAACTTATTGCTATAGCCAGAAGCATAATTGAAGCAAGTAGAAAGCTAACCTTGTATATGTGAATTATATGTGTTCTGTGTTCATGTGTTCAGAAAAAGAAAAATTTGTGTTGTCTGAATGTATAATAGAACTGTATAATGTATTTTCGAATATCAGTTGCTTAACAATAAAAATGGCTGAGCAAAGCTGAGTGTGAGTTAGACGAAATGAGGTTGCTGCATTTAAAGCGGACGATAACATAAAAAGCTGATTTTTCCAGAAAACACTTCAGCTCTAGAGCTGAAGTTCGCCAGTTACAAAACAAAAACTTCAGCTCTAGAGCTGAAGTTCGACAATTACAAAACAAAAACTTCAGCTCTAGAGTTGAAGCTTACAAACAAAAACTTCAGCTCTAGAGCTGAACTTCAGGCCCGGCTACTAGAATGCTGAAGTTTTGCGAAAAAGCGGGTACGCTTGCAATTTTTTTTGCAAAGCGGGCACAAGTTAAAATGTGACACAAAAAACGGATATAGATGCAAATGCCCCAAATAATACTCTAACAACGTAGATAATTTAATTTATTTTGAGTACATTAACAATATAAATAATGTTTAAGCAAATTTAACTTAATTATATCATAATGATATAATGATTAAATTTATATCATTTATTTCTTTCTAGAAATAAATTTTGTTGGATTTTAGTATTACTAATCTAATAAAATTCTTTATATATTAATTATATCTAACAATATATGGAGTATCTTATTATTTTTCGCATTTTTCAATTTGAATTCAATAAGATTAATATGAAATTTATTTTAGGTACTTTGAGCAAATAGAATTTATTTCTTTAAGGCTATGAGAACATAGTATATTTTACATGATACTTGAATACAAGTCAACATATTATTCTCTATTTGAGCTATTAAAGCAAATGCACAACTCATATATCGAAGTTATGTAAAGGTATTAGAATACTTTTGCGTGATATAATTTTTTTCTTTATTAAGTTGGCTAAAAAGGATCAACAGTCTTTATTAAGCTTGTACGTTTTATTTTTTTTATTTATTTTATAACTCATCACATAGTTTGATAATCTTTGTATAATTTTCAAATTTTATATTCATTGATATGAATAACAACATCACATAATGTTAGTAGTTCATTAAACAGAAAACAACTTGTAGAGGCTTAAAAAGAAAAGAAAAAAGTCGACCAACTCCCTTTTCAGAAAAGAAAAAAAAAAGGAAAAGAACGAGCCTTAGAAACTTCACTCTTGATATTTTTTCTCCATGCCTAAGAAGTAAGAACAATGAACCTTCAATGATTTAAACAAATAATTCTGACAAATCAAAACTTTCTTTTTTGTTAGCTGAAATAAAAATTGTTTGTGCCTGCAGACTATTTCTTGTTTTTGAATTTGAGTGAAAAAAAGAAAGAAAAAAAAGGGAACATCAGAAATTAAACAACAAGAAGATCACACAACAAAAAGAGTGGTGGGACATGACAAATTATTAACTAAAGATCTCAAATTCTAATCTTCGTTATTAAAAACCTTTCGGAAGCAAATGCTTTGCTACATTTTTAGTGGTCCTTTCATACCCAAATCTAATTAATCAGACCAATAAATTTTGGATACAAATACTTAAAGCAAAGCGAAGAAAAAAAAGAAGGGCAAAAAAATGTATGATAGAAGATATTTTTCATAATTATATGATCCCATAATAAATACAAGAGTTATGAGTTAAAATACCGCCAGAAAACAATGAGGAAAAAAATGAGCTTATATCATTTTAGTTATGGTTGTTAGACCTACCATTGACTTATTTCATCAATGACTTGGCTTTTCAACTTTCTTTTTATTTTGGAGATTTCTCAAGTGTATTTTTTTAAGTACAAATAATTCTATTTCACAAAAAACGAAAGAATTCCATGTGAAACAGAAATAAACAGATATGAAAAAACAAACTGGAGATCTCAACTAAACCACTTACCTTAATTAGTAGTAATTCATTACATTTTGTTGTTATTTCTACTTAATGAGGTTCAATGTTTTGTTATTTTCTTTTGCTACGGTTATATATCTTTGGATAGTTCCTCTGTACAACATATATATATAATTTATTATTATTTTTAAATTTTTAAATTTTTTATGTCAAATGGATCCTCGACGAAGGAAACATAAATTTACATTTGAAACATTTTTCAATGTATTGTCATGTATATATGAGCTTCTATCAAAGTCACTTCTTAATCTATATGTCAATTGGATATTAGTACTATAAGAGTTTTTTTCCTCAACAAATGATTAATGAAAAGCTTAATATTTCGTGATTGAAATTATAATTTTGCGTATGTATTTGTCCTCGGGTTTAAGAGAGGAAATGATCCTGTGACCACTTACAATTTGAATAGAAGAAAATAATCTTTTCAGGTCTCTTGCGTGTTATTTTCAGGTCTCTTATATATAAAAATGAAGATCTCTTATAAAAAAGACATAAAACAAAAATAAAATAAAATTGTAAAGGACTACAAAATCAATTCTCTCGTTTTAAGAAACTACAATGTATTCTTGGCACACGAAATGCATGGACAAATAAATATATGATATGATGTTACTCTTTAACTCCTTATAGTGATAGCTAGTAGTTAGAATAAATAACTTATAACTATTTAACTTTAAAGGAAATAAGTAAGACTATGCTTATCCCAAAATTATAATAACAGAAAGAGCTTTTGAGAGTATAGTAAACCAGAAAACTGAAAGGTTATTGTCTCTAGGAATGGACTCAGACCACAAAATATGGAAGGTAAAACTTACTATTTTTAGCCAAATAAATAGAAATAGATAATCACAATTGGCTTACCGTTGGAATTGCGAGGACAATTTAAGAATATTTTCACATTTTAAGAATCCAAGTTGCCATTCTTTGAGTGTGGTTAGGGATTTCTTTTATACTTAGAAGATAATTTACGATATCACTTTGCCTAAAAAGAAAAACAAAGAGATTCTTTTTACATTATGTGTCATTATGGTATAAATTATTTTTACACATCAAAAATCGGTGAAAATCATTTNCCATGTCCATTGACTTTTTAATACCTATTTTACCCTTACATATCAACCTTTGTCTCTTCTTCTTCTTTTTTTTTCTTTACTTTTTTAGAATCATGATATTTTTCTTTCATTTTTTAAAATTTATATAACAAAAGAAAAATTGTTCTTGAGACGGAAAAAGAAGTGAGAAATAGTAATTAAGTAATATGTTCTATAGTGAAATAAATGGGCAGAATAAAAATAATTTAATTTTATTTATAGCAATCAAAGCTCTAATATATATTTATAAAGTGACAATAAAAAGGAGTAAATTTTTTATAAATATTTGAATGCAAGTAATACAAAGATAATGAATAAAATTAGAGATTAATTTATAATAGAATTCTATATAGATAAATGAGTTTTAGTCACCACTAATGATATAAAAATAGAAATAAATTTTATAACAAAATTCTAAAAGATTATCTATTTATATTATAAATTCATTCTAAATTATAATTTAAATATTATTTTATTAATGACGATCAAAACTCATTTATCTATATAGATGATAGAGAATAAGAGAGAGTGAAACTTAAATATATATGTATGCACACACTCAGATATACATACTTAATGTACGTAATATTTTGATAACAATCATAAAAAAATAACATTAGATTTTGTAATAATTATTAAAAGAATATTTTACTTATAATGTTTATAAACTTAAGTAAAGATCTATAGTAAGATAGAAAATTATTTAAACTATAGGTAAAATGTCTAGGTTAAAAAATAAAATATTATTCTATATAATATTAAAAGGTATTATATAGATGGAAAATTAAAAATGTCAAGGGCAAAGTTGATATTGCATAGGATAAGAGGGGGAAAATGACTATTGTTCAAAGGTAAGGGGGAGTTTGATTTTTAGAGCAAAGTTGGAGGGTGTAAATGATTTTCTCCCCTGCAAAAGATAGATTCTTGAAACTAAGCCAACCATTTTAGATTTATTTTTAGTTTCAGTTCTACAAACAAAATACGTAAGTCATACAAAACCTAGGAACGAAGAAACGCAAGATTTTGCAATTCTTTAAGGCAAGAAATTTGACAAGTGTCTTTCAACCCAATTGGAAGGCAAACTCATTTTGAGTTTTTTTCACTTTTAGTTCACGCCAGAAATTATTTATATTTGGTAGTCGAAAAAGTATATAAAATTTGTATATAACATACAAAATGTATATATATATATACAAAAAAAATATATTTTTTCGATTATTATTTTAAGAGCGACTATACAATGTCGTTTTCCAAACCATTTTCTCCAAGTCCCTTATAGTGTAAGTTCCAACATGTAACCTATAATTTGGGCAAAATTAAAGGCATTATTTGATGTTGACTCTGCTTTGCAATCTTTAAGCTTTAGACTCCCATGACCCCACCTAGCTATTTTCCACATATTCTCCACTTTTACTTTCTTAAAAAGAGATTGACCATTAAGTTACCTACCCAAAACTTGCTTAGTTTGGCAAGGAGATAAAGGAAGATAAGGGAAACCAAAATATTTTGAATTTTTCCCTTCTTCTGTTTGAAATACTCCGTCCCTTTCTATTTTTGTGAGCCTATTTTCTTTTTAGTTTATGTTAAAAGGAATGACCCCATTTTCATATTTGAAAAATAATTTATCTTTATAAAATGATTTATAACCACATAAAATATATGTGTATTATTTTATACCACAAGTTTAAAAGTCTTATAATTTTTCTTAAAAATTCATGCCCAATCAAATAGATTCGCATAAATTGAAACGGAGAAAGTATGTAAAATGGAAAAAAGAATGTAAGCAAAAAAGAAAAGAGTGAAATTGTTTCTCTTTTGACAACAAAGTCTTTCTTAAAATAAATAATACCTTATTTTACTCCTTAAATTCTCTTCCAACCCAAACAAGAGGCATTTATTTCCTTTTTTCCTCTCCCCCACTTTTTCCACAATTTCCCCTCTCCCCATTTTCTATTCTTTTCTTTTCTCTTTCCTACCGTCCAAATATGAGATTAATGACTGGTTTGGTAGGACGGACCAGAGATAATTAATTCTGAGATTAAATTTGAGATGAGTACCCCATGTTTGGTAGGGATAAAATCGTGGCATAACTAATCTTAGGATTCGTTATTTGGGATTGTAGCGTTTTTTATTTCCCAACCAAACGAACCCAGAGGCATTGAAAGTTGAAATATAAGTCTTCTCTCCTTCAATCTTTCTAAGAACAGAACAAGCAAGAAAACAAGAGGGGCTCATGGCTTCATCAATCTTTATCATTCTTTCTTCATTCATAGTCCTATTTTCAGCTTCATGTGCTGTTTCTTATACAATTCAAGATCAATTCTATCGATGCATTACTCTTCATTCGGACCGTTCAATACCTTTCTCCACAGCTTTCTTCACCCCTACTTCCAATGCTACTTCATTCAACTCTGTCCTTAAATCCACTGCCCAAAATCTAAGGTGTTTGGCACCTTCTCAACCAAAACCACTGCTTATTTTCACTGCTTTGAGTGAATCCAATGTACAAGCAGCAGTCATTTGCGCGAAAGAGCTAAAGCTTCAGCTCAGAGTTAGGAGTGGAGGCCATGATTATGAGGGCATCTCTTATACATCAGAAATGAAAAGATCAATGCCCTTCATCTTGCTTGACTTAGCTAAACTTCGCGCGATCAAAGTAGACATTGAGGATAACAGTGCTTGGGTTCAAGCTGGCGCGACGATTGGTGAAGTGTACTATAGGATTGCTGAAAAAAGCAAGACACATGGTTATCCTGCTGGCCTATGCACCAGCTTAGGAATAGGTGGTCATATCACTGGGGGAGCTTATGGTCCTATGATGAGAAAATATGGACTTGGAGCTGACAATGTTGTTGATGCTCGGATAGTTGATGCTAGTGGCAGAGTTCTTGATAGGGAATTAATGGGAGAAGACTTGTTTTGGGCAATCAGAGGAGGTGGAGGAGGTAGTTTTGGTATACTTTTGGCTTGGAAAATTAGACTTGTTCCTGTTCCATCAACTGTCACAGTTTTCACTGTTCCAAAGACACTGGAAACTGGTGCAACAAAAGTCCTGAATAAATGGCAACATGTTGCAAATAAGATTGATGAAGATCTCTTCATAAGGGTACTGATAACTACAGCCAATTCAACTAAAAATGGGAAGAAAACAGTGCAAACAGCTTACCAAGCATTGTTTCTTGGCAAAACTGATAGGCTTCTTCATGTGATGAATCATAGCTTCCCTGAATTGGGATTGACGCGAAAGGATTGTGTCGAAATGAGCTGGATTGAATCAGTCATTTATATTGCAGGATATCCAAGTAGCATTAAGCCTGAGTTTCTACTTCAAGGGAAGTCATTATTCCCTCCAGTAAACTTCAAGGCTAAATCAGACTTTCTCCGCGTACCAGTTCCAGAAACTGGACTTGAAGGTATGTGGAAGAAGTTTTTGGAAGAAGATTCACCTATGATGATATGGAATCCTTATGGAGGAATGATGGGAAAGATATCAGAATCTTCCATTCCTTTCCCACATAGAAAAGGAGTCATATGCAAGATACAGTACTTAACTTCTTGGACAGAAGGAGACAAGAAATCTGCAGATAAACATATCAACTGGATCAGAGGGCTATATGAGTACATGGGCACTTTTGTATCCAAGTTTCCTAGAGAAGCTTATGTGAATTATAGAGATCTTGATTTGGGAATGAATAGAAATGCCAACTCAAATTTCTTGGAAGCTAGTGTTTGGGGTAAAAAGTATTTCAAGAATAATTATGATAGGCTTGTGCTTGTGAAGACTAAGGTTGATCCTGATAACTTTTTTTGGCATGAACAAAGTCTCCCAATCCTTCCTTTTAAAGTTGGAAAAGAAGGGAAAAGTTTGATTCACTGAAGAAGCATTACTTTTGGTTTGATGTTGTATTGTAAAATTTAAGGTAAAAGTAAAAATAAGTTAAGTTTTGGTTTTCATTTGGATTGTAGCAGAAGTTTGTATTAATATAATGAAGATTTAACATATTTTTGTGCAGTTGATTTAACTGAGAAATGAAATTGATGAATGCTGAATTACAAAACTACGTGAAGAAGGATTTATGAAACCAAAAACATATCCATTATCATTCTTACAGCATTTATACCTCTAGATATTAATTCATAAATGTTGATGTTTAGTGCTAGAGAACAATAGTCAGAGAAATACAATTTAGTACATACTATATGTTTATGCTAAAGAGAATTTATACAAGAAGAAAGGGGATCAATGTAAGAAGCTGTCCAATATGCACGTTCTTCCTCAAATTCGTCGAAGAGAGGCCAACCTCTTCTCAAGTTCCTCAATGTCCGCAGAGTCAGAACTGCATTAAAACAGAAGAATTGTTAGGTATTCTAAGTAGCTAGAATTCATCTCGTATTGCCACAAAATCAAACAGCAAGAACATAACAAAGTATTTGAAAAGGAGAAGATAAGAAGCCATCTGTATAAACTTCATGTTCCAAAAGAATATATTATTTTCTGATTGTTCTGACCACCAAAAACATATTATAGAAGGAAGAACTAAAACGAACTTTTAGAAATTCTAGATTGGTACATGCATCAATACAATGTTCATAGTCAGCACTTGGTCAAAGCAGTAAATAATCATCATGATCAGACGCAGCGGGAGTACAATTAGAGAACAGAAGGGAACATATCAAGAAGAATACTATGCCTATATAGTTGAGAATTGGCTCTATCAGTATTGATACGGAAATGCACAACAAATGTAGCTTGACACATGTAGACACACAATCCAACTTAAGTATATCAGATAATACATGTCTGACATGATATAAAAACAGTTTCGACGTACCTAGGGGGAGCAACATTTTCAACTTTCTTCGATGCAATTCGACCTTTTGGAGCTGAAGATAGCTGCCAAAATAGAAAACAATAATGAATAAACCAGCTTGCAAACTAAAGATGAGAAAAACAACTGATGGCTCAACTATCCTTAATCAACAATCTACCTGCGATGCAATGTCAACACCAATCTCGTCCAGCACCTAACAAATGAAAATCCAAATTAGAAAAGTTGACCAGAAAAATACAATTAGGAAACAGATAAACTGCATGATGAAAAATGAGTATTGAACCTGGTTTGTAAGCTCCTCAGTTTCTTCTTCAGCTTCATCTTTATCCAAAGTTTCATCAATGGACTCTGACATCATCTCAATCTGAAAAAATCAGATATTTTTATCAGTATGCATAGGCTGAACTTCACCAAGCTAAAATATTTTGCTTAGTTGCCTTGAAGAAACTGCATTGATGAATGTGCTTACTGTCATGTCCAACTGTGATGACTGCTTCTGGAATTCTCTGATCACTTTAACTTGTTTTGCAGGTGCCATTTGCTGAGAAGTTAACACACAAAGAACAAACCAATTAGATGGAATTACACCTTGATTAGCTTGTGGAGCACAGAACCTAAATGATAGCACAACGGCAAACAAAATGGAGGAGAAAAGATGTAGGTGACAAATCTTTCACTTTCATATGTTTTGTATTTCATTTTAATATGTTCGAATGATTTAAGAAGAAAAGAGGAAAAGAAACTCACTACCAGCAAATAATCAGTACCTTGTTCATGGCAGTCATCGCTTTAGTTGCACCTTTCATTCCAGTAGACATAGAGGTGCTAGCATACAGTGCCTACAGAAGAGAAAGGAAGCCATGTATAAGATCCACCAAAAATTTTCAATTGCTTGGTCATAAACAATAGTTATCTGGAGAAAAGATTTCACCTGTGTATGAGTTGCTACACCCCTAATCTGAGCACGACTACCTTGCAAATTTACAATTTGTTGCCGCAGTCGCACAAGTTGACGAGCTAGAATTTTAGTGGCGGCCTGACAAGTCAAAATGCATGAGCAAGATTTACTTTGAGGAGAAAGAAATGGCTGATGTACAGATTACGTCGGATGAATGAGTTATTTGCTCATCCCTTCTTAAAAAAATGCCATTCATTTGACATCAAAGAGTTTGACAAGATAATTCCACAGCGGTTGAGCATGCTACATAAAAAGAACTACTTGAATCACATAGTATAACATTCATGTTACCACAAAAGCTGCAACTGAATCAACTCCTAAATGAATAACTACACCTCGAATTTAATTAGTCTTGATTCAAACTTAAAATCTTATTGAGCTCGAATAGAAAAAAAAATTAAAAAAAGGGCTCAAATAAATTTTGATCTTGAATATGAAAAGGAGATGCTCGGGTAGAGAAAGCTAGCTAACATGGCTCACACCCTCATACAAGTATTTTTTAAAATTTATATAGGATTCGTACACGTATACAAATTCTGTGGATTATTTGCTGGTGTGAGAATGAACCTTAAGAATTTGAAATTAGTTAAACAATTGTCAGGCTCTAGTCAGTTAAACTTTTGTTGAGCTCGAACTCTAGCTCAAGCTCTAATCAAGTCAATACCTTGGGTATTTGACTCGGTTCAATTCAATTGCAGACATAAACCATATATATGTCTTTCAAATTCTGATACTTTCCTGTCAAATAATATCTTTCTCTAAGGTTGTGACAAGATGTTTATGCATGAGTACTTTAGAAGGATGATTTATGCAAGCTGAGAATGACTCAAGACTATGTACATACAAATTAACTCTAGTCTAATCAGTGTTTTAGTTATCTTAAACTGTTCAAATATAATGTGATAAATAATAGAACTCTTATATCTAACTCTTGTATGCTTGGGATGATTAGGTAAATTCACATTAACTAGCCAGGTAGAATCAGGTTGATGTGCTTTTGATCAGAATAACACCACACATTATACCAAAAGAAATAAGAGGCTGCAAAAAGCATGCAGTTTCTAGTGCAAATAAGCACCCATGGAAACCAGTATCAATATGATCGCGATTCCAAGTGTGGTGTTAGTAACAAAAAATAAGTTTAATGAACAAACACTTGCCTCGTTTCCTGTTTTGGCTGTTTTCTTGATCTCTGCAACTAACTTTTTCTCCTACAAGATGGTAAAATAAGAATTACATAAGTTAATAAATAAGAATATAACTAACACAGAAGAAAAAGATTGGGTACTGTAAGAATACTCAGAACATAATTGACCATAAATTGGCAAGAATACTCTGAACTAACTGAACAAACAACACTTGCATCATGTCTATGAACATTTTTCTAGTAACTTACCTCCATTTGTAAAGATGAAATCTCCCGCTCAATGCCTAAAAGTTAAACATGAACAAAGAAATGAACCGATGAAAGTACAAAAGAACCAAATAAAGAATGAGAAAGACAATACAAAGTGAAAAATGAAGTGAAATATACTAAACTTGCACACCAATTATCATATTCCAGCGCTCTATAACAACACAAAAGATAACATACAAAGTNATTGGAGAATTAGACTGTTCTAATGTAAAGAGCATAGTGTTTGAAGTACATCTAAAATCAAAACAAGAGGAATTTAACCAAATGGCATCCCTATCAAAGTCAGCCAGTGCAATTGGGATCGGGAATCAGGAATCAGCATCCATTATTTCTAAATTTGAAAAAAATGCCTTCAAAATTTCATTAAGTCAAAAGTTGTCTTTAATCAAAACAAAACTCAATGAAAATAGAAGCCCAAGACAGTAATGGTACCTCTGGTAGCAACAGCCATTTCCCTTTTGCTGGTCCTTAGTGCTTCTGTTAATCAATTACAAAACTTTCACCATAGATCATCACTCAAAACAAAGAATAAAACCATAAAAAAATGTGATAAGAAACAAGCTAAAGTCCCTATACTAAGCTGAAGGAAAATTAATAGAGAAAATGGGATTAGAGAAAAAGGGGGGAAAGATCTTACCTTTGGGTGAAGTCTTCTTCTTGAAAATGTTGTTCAACTTCTCCATTTTCTTTGACAAAAATTAATGATTCTGATGGAAAAAAAAAGAGTGGAAGAAGCCCTAAAATTTTCTTGAAATGGAAAAAGAACCCTAATTTTTGTTGAAAAAGACCTGAATCATGAAAATGGCCGATCAAAATGTGTTCTTTCTTCTTTTTCCTTTTTGGATTTTTTTCTGTAAAAGAGGAAAAGAGTGAAGAAGAGCAGAGAGTGGCAAATGGTAGCGGCCGCCTACAGAACTTCTAGTGGAGCGTGCAGTGACTTCTGTTCTTTTCCCACATAATACTATGATTTTATCTAACGGCCAGCAAATAAGTAGCCGTTGTACAGGTTGAAATGACCAAGCTACCATTCTCATATTTGCCCTCACAAAAGGTCAAAAGACAATATTGTCCTTTTGGTTGTTTGACACATTGTTTTGAGCTTGGGTACGAGGAAAATTCGTGTCCGCTCCGGGTGTGTTTGGCTACGAGGAAAAACACTTATTTTCTCTTGTTTGGTTGATGAGTAAAATTCTTTTGCCGAAAAATATTTTTTTAGTATTTGATTAGATAGTAGAAAATATTTTTTTATACTAATCTCTCACCCTCTTCCCCTAAGTCCCTATGTTAGGGGTGAGCATCGGTCGCATCGATTCGGTTGCGAATATTATAGGTTTAACATATCGGTTATCGGTTTACAAATATGATAAACCGATAACTGAAGCAATAAGATATCGGTTATCGGCTATCGATTAATCAGTTATCGATCATTATCGCTTCGGTTATCGATTTACCCGATAAGATAACTCAATCTAGAGTTATGTAAAAAAGAGAAGACAATTCACTGGAGATAAACAAAAAAGAGAAGAATTCACATATAGTATATGTCACACCTCCTTTTTGCGCGCCCGCCCCGAAAGGTAAATGCGTGAGGGAGTTTTTCCAATTTAAGTGACAATATTCGAAATGAGATTATTTATTTAATTCAGAGTCGCCACTTGGGAAAGGTTTGGCTTTTGGTGTCCCAAGTCACTGGTTTATCTTGAATCCCAAATCGAGGAAAATATTAGACTTTCCAAATGAAGTCTGCGAACCAGAAATTCTAAGTAAGGAATTCTGTTGACCCGAGGGAAGGTGTTAGGCACCCCCGAATTCCGTGGTTCTAGCACGGTCGCTTAAATTGTTACAATGGCCAAATATCTGATTTTTAATACATGTTATAGATTGTGTGCTTTTATTAGGTTAAAACCGCTTTTTTATTATTATTATTATTATTATTATTATTATTATTATTATTATT